GAGGGATTATTGGAAGATGATTTCAAGATCGAGGGCATTCGAATGGAATTTAATGGTCGATCAGTATTGCACATAAATCGAGGTAATACTTTACTACCTCTTTATGCTTTATGGAACATGTGAATATTGGTAAATGCATGATTAAGATAATGTTGGTCTCATTTGTGTAGTTAATTAATTTCTACACTCGATCTGAATACGGTAAAAAGGTTCAGTAATTGATTATGGTTTAGATGACTTTTATAAGAAATTGAGGGATTGTTATAATTAAATTACAAGTTATGTGTTTAGTGATAAAGAAATCAACCTAGATATGTAACTTATAATTTATTTCATCAAAGGTTAAATGTTAAAGGTACTTGGATGCGAAATTATGAGAATACTCCGGCAAGGTAAAATTATGAAAATACCCTTATTTTGTAAAAATACAAGAATTGACCATGGAAGTTGGATAAGAAGTTGTAAAGACATATTGATCTGATAAAACTAATGATGTGCATAGAAATACTAGTTTTGCTTATGAAATTTGGATAACTAGCTTTTAACCCCAATAGGGTTTTTGTAAGATACTAGAAGTCTGTTAAGGAATCATTTCAAGATCAGAGAATGTTCGGGGAAGCAATTGACCATAGGATCTCTAAATTATAATTATTTTCGTTAAGAGTTAATACCGAAATTATTTGGTTAAGAGATTACAAAAATGCCCTTGAAAGGTAAAAATAGTTCGAGTTGACTCTGAATGGGAAAGTAACTTGAGAATTTTTATTTAAACCGATAAATAACTAATTTAATTGTTTAGATCCTACTTTTGTATGGAAAATTACTGATAATTCTTTAGTAACATCTTAAAAGACTTTTAACCTGGAAATCTACGATTTGATAATAAATTATCAAGGGTGTTCTTTTGTCATAACTATTCAAAAAGACTGGAAAAGATTATACGTTTGAATTAAATAATAAGATCAGATGGATGGAAATGATTGAAATATATCGAATCAGAATAGTTTGTAGGGACTGACATAAATGATAAGTTTGAATTTAATAATAAGATCGGACGGAATGAATTATTGAAATACACTAGATCTGTAAAATGACCAGAATATCCATGTAATGGAAATGACTCAAGAATATCACCAAGCTCAAGAATGATGTGATATCCTCAAGCTCTGTAATGATTGAAATTAAATTGAACACCAAAATGACCAAAATACCCTTATGGCCTATACTAAGTAAATGTCCTAGATTATTTAAGGAATCTAAATAAACATGAATGTGGTACTGCTCTTAAAAGTTATAGATCACATATTAAGTTTAGCAACCAATGCTAGTGTTATATCAGTACCTGAACGGCATAGATGTCACTTGAATGCGTGTTTGTATTCTCAAGTTTGACTCGATGATAATTTTAGAAGTATTCAGCTCAATTCTAAATCGCATTCAGTACTAAGAATTTGATATTTTTTCGACAAATCAACCACGAATACCGAACTGAACTGAACAGGAGTACAATATGTATCTAAAATTTAGGAACGTCCGAAATTACTCTGGAAAGTTCCGGAGTAACTGGAATAGACTTGACTGCTAAATGAACTAGGTAACCTCAAGGACTGAGGATTAAGCAAGAGATTGGAATAAGCCTGAAAACTCGGATGAACTTATGTGATGTATTATCTCTATGGATTATGAACCACAAATCATGTACGTCAGCATTTCTTGATACAGTTAAAACATGGAAATGATATAAAGACCATTACAATATGTGTTCGTCTCCTTAAGATATGTTCAGTGATGACTTAGAAGATGATCTATGGATAAGAATATTTGGTATTAAAGAGTAAATACCCAGGAAGGTTATTGAATAGACAAGTTGACAAGTATTAGTTCGGAAGCTATTCATCTGGAGTTGTTCGATAAACTGATTAATCGACATAGCTTGTAAAGATCTTGAACCTTCATTTCTTCCCTATCAGCTCAAGTCACATTCTGAATAACTGATGATTCTGTTAGTTATTGAACTCTTCCAATAGTGATTCTGAATTCCAATATTCTTTCGGTATACTGAAGATCCGTGTTCTTCTACTTGCTAAGATTATCCAATATCTTTGAATACTATCTGTAAATTCTGGTGTGTTCCCTACTCACATGAATATTTTACCTGATTTTTGATTTGATTTCTGATATGATACTTGACATGGATTCTGGTATGATATCTATCATGGATTCTGATCTGATACTTGACTTGGATTCTGATCGAATACTTGACCTGAATTTTGATATGATACTTGACATGGATTATGTTTTGATTTTTGATATATTCGTTTACGGACGAAACATGTTTTATTTGGGGGATAATGTTGGAGGAAGTATACCTGGAGGCTCCTCGGCTGTGTGCTCAGGGCCATACTGGACTTGTCGGTGGGCGTATGGTTCTGGGGAACCTACGTATTTTGGACTTGACGGATGGGGGTATATATATATATATATGTTTTAAAAAGATCTAAAAAGTTACATGATTTTTGGGAACACACTAGAAAACATATTCTGATCTCCTGAACCTAAACATCCCAAATATTTTTCCATCAGAACTAAATACTATATGTTAATACCTGAAATATCAATGGGACCTCAGCTCAGCCAAAGAAATCTGTAGATATCTGAACCAATAAGGAAATATATGTTTATTTGTATCTGCACGTTCCATCATCTGGTAGTTCTGTATTACTGAGCTTTTCAAAGCTCACTCTATTACTCACCTTTTTAGGTTAAAAGAATTGTACCAGTGCATCTATCGTCATCAGTAAGGGAGTTCTTTCGGTGTTGTCTGCAGAGTACGATACATACGATTAGGGAGCATGTAATTGTATTTTGTTTTATATATGAGTCTGAAAATATATTTTATTTCTGCATACTGATAAATGATTTTATAAGTTTACATGTTCTGATAAAAAGTTTTAAATTTTCCGCTATTTTTTTCAGTGGGTCGCTCCGGTGGCCCTAATATGACAACCCATATCGGATCGGGTTACCCGCATCGGTCTGGGGGTTATAAATATGTTCTGTCACACGTGTTATATATCATCTTCGAAATTTATGCTATTTATTCAGACTATGATATTATGAAAATACTTTTACATTTGGATCGAATCGATATTCGGATATGTATATTTTAAAGTCATGACACATTGGAATGGGATTGATAGGGGATGTTCAGTGTGTTCATCCGATGAGGTGAATTTGACTTTGGATTCAGTGGCCTATGCCTTTGTGGCGGACCCCATTTCGGATTGTGTGTTGTAGTTAGAGTGATTCTAGGGAACCTACTCTTCGGACGGTATGTGGTGTATGGGTGCATTATATTTGTATACTTATTCGAACCATGAATATTATGACTCAGATTGAGATTATGCTTGTTGATTGTTTTTCTGAATATTTTGTTTATTACCACGACCCCATTTTCGGATTGTGTTTGTAGTTAGAGTGATTCTAGGGAACCTACTCTTCGACGTATGTGGTGTATGGGTGCATTATATTTGTATACTTATTCGAACCATGAATATTATGACTCAGATTGAGATTATGCTTGTTGATTGTTTTTCTGAATATTTTGTTTATTACCACTTTTTGACCGCACTAAGCTCTATAACTCACCCCATTTATTTCTTAATTTCATATATTTCAGGATGTTAGGATCAGATTTTCATCTCGACGATCGAAGTCTCGGATTTAAATTATATTTTGATAAAATATTTTTTATATAAAGTGATAAGAAATGTATAAATCATTTGTAATTCTGATTTAATATCTGATAAATTATTTTGAATTAAATTCTGGATCACTTCGGTGATCAATGTGACTTTAAAGATTCAGCCTTAACGTGTAGACCAGGTCTTGGGGGTTACATGCATTCCCCAAAATTTTAGTTCAGAAATGAAATTAAAGACAAAACAAATCTACAATTGAAAACTTAGCTTGATTCGAATTAGGTCCATCCTTAATTTCAAATCCAAAATTTTAGTGTCTACTTTATAAAATATTGTTCTTTGGGAAGCAAAAGGCTAAAACAACTTTTAGGAACATAAAATTTAAATTTTAAAAGAGTTCCCATGAATCCGAAACATGAGGGGTTTGTCCTTTTCTCTGAGGTATCGCTCCTTCATACAAATGGATTGATCCTTTTTAGCACAATAATCATTAGATCGGTCCAATTTTACAAGGGATCAATCTTTTCTATATGTTTATGAAAAATTAGGCTAAAATATGTAAAATTTAACTACTAATTCATTTTTTAATTGTTTCTAACATTACGAATCATACATAAATATACTTGTAACACTAAAATCATGTTGTGACACTATTATATCATGCTTCTCATCAACCAAACAAAAACCAAACATGGTTGTAAATCAAGAATTCTCATAATTGATGATTTTGATTACTTTAGGCATATCATTGTTCGTTTTAGGCATATTTGGTCATAGTATACACCACAACTTGCTTTCTATACAATCATACATCACTTAAACGTTACAAAACATAACCTAAAATTATGGCATCACCTAATTGGACATGCTTGCAACAAAGAACATACTTGGCAAACATCATGCTAGTCATGAATTATTCATCTTCATGTCGTCAAACAATCAACCTAAAATCATAAATGAAATCTGTTCACACTCAATTTCGTCCCGTTATTATATTATTATATTATTATTATTATTATTATTATTATTATTATTTATTATTATTATTATATTAATACTTTTTTAATTTAGGTTTTGCAGATCCAAATACATGCCCAAAAATCAAGTCTCAGCCCGCCAAAATCACTGACCCATTAACAGCTACCCGTTTCGAGTCTAGCCCAACAACCTGAATCCCAAATTGAAATCTACACGTGAGAGCCCAAGCCATCTAGGGTTTTTTGAACCCTTCCCTTTCTCTTCATGCAGCCTCCTCTCAGCTGTTGGATCTGATTTTAGATCTAACGGTTCAGATGTTACATCATTAGGGTTTCATGAAACCCTTTGGCACCGCCACTCATCTCAGCCGTCAGATATGGACCCATCCAACAATCCAGATCGAGCCTCAGATCCACCGCCATATCCACCAGTCGGCTACCACCGTCGATGCCACCAACCAAAGCCCCCTACCATGTTAGAAACACAATTCAACACATAAGCAACAAATTCGTACTCACACGCCACGCAAAAATTATTTTTTTGTAATGATTTTATATCAAAAGAGAGAGAAAAGTCTGTAAAACTTGGGCTTATAAAACCCTGAATAAACTATATAAAAAAGGGTTCCCCTTTCAATTTTGCAGAAAGTAATAAAAAACAGAAAACATTTGAGGTATTTTTTTTATTTTATTTTACTTTCGGTTTTAGAAAAAGCATTACAAGAATAAGAGGAAATACTACTTGCATGTAACACAAAACTAGGAGAGGGTTAGATCTTTAGTTACTTGAGACATAGGGGTCTTCGTTGAAGGTCGTCGGAGTGTGGAGAGACCAAAAGGTCAAGGGACTTATCTGGGAGTTTATGGGGCTTTTTATGTGGTTTTGGCCCTAGATTTGTGTCTAGGAGAGTAGACCTAACATGTAGGGGGTTTTTGTGTCGATTTAGGAGTTCCAACCGTCGTGTGTGGTTACTGAAATAGCGGCCGGATGCCAGGGTAAGGCGGCCAGGAGCGGGCCAGCCAAGAAGAAAAGAAGAGAGAGAAGAGAGCTTTTATGTTTTTAAAGAAACCTATATTAAAATGTAAAAAAGCGAATATGTTGTATATATAGAACAAGTTATGGGGAAATTTCACTTAGGTCCCCTAACTTGCGCATGTTTTTACAGAAGAGTCATGTGTAAGGGTCGTTTTCATAATTTACCCACTTTTATGCATGTTATGTAGTTTTAGAGTTATTTTTTTGTTTTGTCCCTATATGTTTAGCATGCTTTTACATCTCGTCCTGTGTAGTAACATTTTTAATTTTTTTAAAAATGTTTATGGATTGATTTGATATTTCCCCTTTTATTTCAAATGTGTATTTTAGGCTAGAAAAAAAAATATTTAGCAATTAGCTCTTGTAGTTTCTGTATGTTTGTATTTCGAACCCAAATATGTTTATTTATTTTTTTTAATTTGGCCATGCAATTTTAGTTTATTTTTAATTTAGTCCCCATGTTTTATTTTTTATTTTATTTTTATTTTAGCACTCAATATCAGGCATGCTAATTTAAGTCATTTATATACTTTATTTTATTTTAATTTTTACATGATGGTTTGATTGTTTATGTTTTAGTCCTATTTTTTATTTTATTTTAATTTTTGCATGTTGCTTGCATGTTAGTTCATTTTAGTCCATAATTAATTTTACAGATACCCTCATAAGTATCACTTGACTCGAATCAAAATAAATTGACTAAGGGTAATATTCATTCGTTTTAGTATTGTCGTAAAGTGATTGTCTTAACGTATAAGAAAGTTACTTTCGATAATTTTAAAATGAAAGTATATCCCATTTAGTGACACGAACTAAATCGAATTCATTTTAAAATTGGGGGATTGGGAAAAAGATCATGTTCTTTTAATTAAATTCATCAAGAAAAGACTGTTAGATCGAATCTAAGGTCTTGTCTCGAGATATTTAAATAATTGAAAATCTTTATTCTCATTAAATATTGGCAAAATAATTAATTTATTTTACTTGCTTGATATGCCTTTAATTTGCTTTTTTCATGTGTTTTCCGATGGTTTTTCGAAATAATAACACTCGAATCAATATTGAGAATAGTAATATCTTTTCATTTCGGTTGGAGTAATAAATGACTACTCTAAGGCATGAGAGGTTATTTATTCTCGATTGGAAATAATTTGATATTATCATTCTCTCTCAAATTAATATTGATTTTAAGATGGAATAGTGATATAGCTTCATTTCAATTGGATCAATAAATGACTGCTTTAAGGTATGATAGGTCATTTATTCTCGATGGGAAATCATTAAATATTATCATTTTCACTCGAATCGATATTGAATTTTAAGACGGAATAGTGATATCTCTTCATTTCGATTGGAGTAATAAATGGTTGCTTTAAGGTATGAGAGGTCATTTATTCTCGATTATAAATAATTAGATATTATCGTTCTCTCTTAAAATTATTTTGGGTGTTGTTATTTTAAATTAATAGTGAACTTTAGAATGAAATTTTAATATTTCTTTATTTCGATTGGAGTAAGAATCGATTCCTTTAAGGATTGATTTCTCGATAGGAAATAATTAAATATTATCATGTTTCGTCCAAAAATTCAAAGAATGTTATTTTTAGGGGATCTTAAATTAAATTAGACTCGAACTCGTAAATTTCATTGCAAAGACAATTAATTAATCGACTAGATGTCGATTTAGGGCGTTGTGGGGGTGTTAATCATTCCCCACACGTAATCGACTCCCAAACTCGAATTTTGGTAACGCGGACCGCAAGTTTGTTGTTTTAATTAAAATTAATATTTTATTAAAATGGAAAATATATTTTTGGGTGCTCAATCACACCCTAATCAAAGATTGGTGGCGACTACTTGAACTACATTTTTATCATTAACTGGTTATCAAAAGTTATTTCGAAACGAGACCCTCTTTTTCCCTTTCAAGAAAAATAGTTTCGATGACTTGGCGACTCCACTGGGGACTTCTTTTAGAGAGTCGGGCCATTAGCCGACTAATTAATTGTCTTTGCAAATAAAAATTACAAGTTCGCTCTAATTTGATTTTTGATCCCTTGTGTGGTTTGAATAAATTTTTCGCTTGTGATTTGATTAACTACTAAATAGTTGTATTAACTTGTATGTTGGTGTTTTCAGAATAAATAATTGTTCAGGGTTTTGTGTTTTCTGTTCAGTGTTGATTGCTTTGTTTTTTCTTTTTCTCACACACTTCACAACCACATATGCATAACATGAGCTAAAACCGCACTTTGTCCTATTGAAGTGGGAGTGAGAAGCTACTCCCTTGTGTGGTTTTCACCTTCGTACGGTATAGTGGATCGCTCATGGGGCTCATGCCTTATGGTCTTCGTGATGGTTTTCACCTCTGTATGGATATAAGGAGGTGTGTCCCCTCGAATTGAACTCAATTTAAAAGCCTGTGATGGGCCAGGATTGAGGGTTTAGTAGTCTAAGAGGGCACTGATAATGACAATTCGAGGACCTCTTACTTTAGAACCAAACACAAGATGTAGTAAAATTAGAACCCAGATAGAGCCTTACCCAGATCAAAAGAATCCAGTGAGGAGAGCCTTTTAATTTTTGTAGTGAAATTATAGATCATGCGGTTAGGTTTATTTTTTCGAAAAAGCATGCGAACTAGATGACATGAGGTTAGGATTTTCTATAAACTTTGTTCTCATTTTGCATTACACTATTTATCCCACTGGTCTTGATTTGGGACCGATGTCTATATAGAAGGCTACTAATATGGAACGAAGGATTCAAAAAGAGGTAAAAGTTAATAAAGATATTCTGAGATGGTCTGAGCAGTCCTAGCTAACGAACATAGATAGTTTATGGCCTGGGTCCATGTCAAATCTGATTGGATACACACACATCACCGTCAGAATAATATGAGCGAGATGAAAGAGATTTGGGGAAAGTGGAAAGCATCCGATAAGTAGTTGTTTTATTAACTCTATGGTGATATCTCGTATCTCTTGATTCCTCTTACCGGACTATGCGAATGATTCAGTAGGGCCAAAATATTTCCTAGATCGCTCCTGATCAACACGCTCACTACCAGAAGCTAAAGCCTCCATCTCCTCAGCATCCCTGGCTCTGCTCACCAGCACATCAAAAATCTCATCTTGAAGGGACACCACCTGCCTACGTAGCTCATATCTGAGTCCGAGGGAAAATTTACGGCATCGATCTCTCTCGGTAGGCACCAGACTGATTCCATACTTTAACAATTTTAAGAACTCTATCCCATACTCTGAAACAGTAATATTACCCTGAACCAAGTCCTGAAACTGTTGTCGTCTCTAGACTAAGTAACGCTCACCCAGGAATCGGCTCCGAAAGCGCTCCTTAAAGAAATCCCATGTCAAACGATCGATAGGAACACTATTGGTCACTGACTCCCACCAGGTGTGGGCATTGCCATCTAACATCGCTACTGCCCCCAAATATCTCTTAGTTGGGTCCAAACCCAACTGATCCATGCGTCTTTCTGTATCTTGAAGCCAATCTTCTGCTTCAATAGGAATTCCTCCAAGCTGTCCTCCAAAAGTTCTGACCCCATTGGCGATCAAAGTTTGAGAAATATGCACCTCGGATCCAGCACCAACAGCTCTGACCGCTCCTTGAATCAACTGTAAAAATTGTTTACCAAAATTCTCATCAAATGCAGCTCTGGTAGAATCAGGCTCACTATCAGTTGCTCCCCTGATCGGTGTAGTCATGCCAATCCCAGCAGCAGGAGGTAAATTTGTCGGGGTCGCAGGAGTAGGATCACCTGTCGGAGGTGGGGGATCTACTCGAATCTCGTCGATCGGGTCTGCAAATCTAGCCACTCGACCTCGCCCTCGGCTAGTTCGACGTCCACGTCTAGCACTCATTTTGGTAGATCTCTAGTTTACTACAGAAGATAAAACTTAGGGTTAGATAAACACTTAGAGTCTTGAACACAATTAAAATTATAAAAACTTTGAGACATGGCCTTAGCAACAGGTTTTTTAAAATATTTCAAAATTGTATTTTCAATTTGGACTCATACACAGTCCGAGGTTTAAAAACCAAAAGTTCTGATACCAATTAATTGTAACCCCCTAGACCCGGTCTATGCATTTAGACTAAGTCTAGTGAATCACATTCATGATTCTTAAAGATATTGTTCCGAAACCATTATTCAATCATGGTAAAATCACATTATAAATGACGTTTATGAAATTACAATAATTTATACTATAAAAATACATCTCATAAATATAATGAAGAAAAACAAATTAATTTAAACATGTCTTAAAAATCCAAATTTATGATAACCCAAATATAAATAGCACAAGAGAAATCATTATAAAATCCAATACTTTAAAATAATGCCCATGTTACCAAAATAGTGTCAACTTAAAAGATAAAACATTACAATACGATATACTTCAAGAGATATGTTGATCCTCCAAGTTCTCAATAAGGTAAATCTAACCAACAGTATCTGAAAGGGGAAAACATTTTCGAAAAGTGAGCTAGGCTCAGTGTGTCCCAACATTACTATAAAATCATGATAGGTACACTAAACAAATCATAGTCCAGTAAATCTCATAAAATTATACTGCAGTAAATCCCATAAAAGAGTTACCCTAAGGGAACATCTTAGGGCCTGAGAGCCTACCCAAGATAGATTTTGGGGCTGTGTGGCCTACCTAAGAACATATCTTAGGGCCGCAGGGCCTACCCGAGAATGATCTCAGGGTCGCAGAGCCTACCTAAGAGTCACATTAGGTCCGTAAAATTTTCCAGCTTGATCAGGGCTGTACTTTATAAATTCATATTCCAAAAATTCAATTGCACCGTGACATAAATTCCATAAATCCATAAACATGGTAATCATATACCATTTCAAAACAAAATCAGATAGCGGTCATAATCCATAAACCATCACATTAAATTGGTGCATCAATAAAACAGTAACCAAAGAATTCAGTGTACCACATATTAAAACAAATAAAACAGTTCAGTAATAAATAGGGAACACACCTCGATAATAGGTTCAAGTAGTAGATATACTGATTGTTGGTCTCACCACGCTATGCTACAGTTTTTGAACCTAATTTATAATAACACTATATTACTAATGGGTAACATAATTAATCTCTAAAATCATAAAATTTACGGGTCTTACGAGTGAATACTGGTACACGTGGTTTAACAGATCTAGAAGTGTTGGGTCAAGCTGTCGAACGATCCGGAGAGTCTCTTGTACCTTCAAACAATAATAATTTATCAACCCCAAGTCTTACTTAATTGATCAAAGCTAAAATTCTTAAGTATATAAGCATTTTCCGGGTTTGACTATTAATTTGGAGGATTTCGAGTCTGAATTTGACCAAACAAATTGCGGAATCGGAATCATGACGTCGAAAAACATAAAGTATGACTTTTCGAAACATCAAATTCTTGGTCAAAACCAAAGTCAACGGATTTGACTGATGATTTGGAGATCTTCGGGTTCGAATTTGGCGAAACGGACTTCGGAAACAGATTCAACATGTCGAATAATGTCAGAATAGGTATACTCGAATAAAATCAAAGGTCGTTTAATGCCCGTTTAAAGCCGGTCAAAGGAGTTCAATAATCTACATTCAAAAATTCCCAAAATGTCACCTTTTTTCAAAGTAATTCCCAGAATGTCACCTTTTTCATAATAATTACCAAAATTTCACTTTTCTCAAAATAATTCCTAAATGTCACCTTTTTCAAAATAATTCCCAAAATGTCACCTTTTTCAAAATAATTCCCAAAATGTTACCGGGTCGGGTCGGGTCGGTCAACAGTCGGGTCGGGTCAGACTAGTCAAATCGGTTAGACCGGTCAACTATAATAAAACCCATTTTGAATCTTCCCCACGTGCAAGGGAGGCGCGTGAGCCGTCCTCCGGTGTCCAAAAATTCCTGCACAAATTTCCAAAAATTATTTTAATCGATTTTGAGTCACTTACCAACCTCGGTTCAAATTTTTGAACGGTGGAGAGTTCGATTTCAACTCGGCCGAATCTTTGACCGCTCCACCTCCCACACGCGCCGCCGCCTACGGAGACAAGGACGACACCGTCGGACTCGGAACGACACCAGGAACACGATGGTGCGGGAGGTGTCGAAAACCGATCAACGATCGGAGATGAATTTAAGATTTTCCCGGCGGTGGTGCTAAAAAAACGTCGATACTTTGACTCAAAATTCACGGCGTTTGGCAGCGTTTCGCTATAATTGGTTTACTAGGTTTTGATCACGCGTCGAAGATGAACACGACGGTGGTTTTAATTTTACGATTGGAGCTCGGACGACGTCGGAATTGAGCTTGAAGGAAGAGGTACGGGAGAGCAAAGTTTAAGCAAAAAAATCATTTGTGTTTTCTGATTTGAAATCAGAAAACACGCTTATAACACTAAAGCTACCGACAGTTTTATGGTAAATTCAGGGCTTGGTCCCTCAATTTCCTTTACTTCTAAAATGGCCTATAAGTTTTCATAAATTTTATTTTAGTCATCAAATTACACCGATTTAAATATTTTTTTTGGGTTGTTACAGGTAGTATTTAGTTCAGATGGAAATATTTTGGATGTCTAGGTTCAAAAGATCAGAATATGTTATCTAGTGTGTTCCCTCAAAACCAGTGAAAATAAACAAATCTTTTTTTTAAACATATTTTTATTTATAAAATACTATAGTAATCCCTTCCACCGAACACAACATGATGTGTAGGTTCCCCATAACCATACAACCCCGGCATAACAATTAGGCCCTGAGCACAAAGTCGAGGAGCCTGCATATATACTTCCTCTAACAATACCCCCAAATAAAACATTTATCAAAAACCATAGTAAATTCCCCCAACCGAACACATCATAATGTGTAGGTTCCCCAGAACCATACACCCCCTGCACAACAGTAAGGACCTGAGCACAAAGCCAAGGAACCTGTAAGTATTCTTCCTCCAACAATAAACCTCAAAATCAAAACATTTTTCTGTTAGTAAAAGGAGATTTCAAAAATCAAAACTGAATTCAGATCAGATATCAGAACAAAATCCATATCAGAAATCAAAACAGAATTCAGATCAGAAATCATATCGTAATTCAAATCAAAATCAGATAAAACATCCATGTGATTAGGGAACACACTAGAGTTTCCAGATATTATTCTGAGATACTGAATAATCTTATTGGGTAGAGAAACACAGATCTTCGATTTACCGATAGAATGTCGGAAGTTAGAATCACTATTGGAAGACTTTATTAACTGACAGAATCATCAATTATTCAGAATATGAATTATTAGGATCATATCTTATTCATACATTTTTTAGAAGTTGTACGTAATCAGAAGGGTATTTAGAATCCTTTACATCTGAGTTACTTGTGTTTTCATATATGACAAGAGTTATATAGGATGATAAGGAAAAACAAAGATTCAGGACCTTTAAAACTATGTCAATTGATCAAATAATGGAACAACTCTAGATCTCCCAGAACAAATGCTTGTCGACTAGTCAATTTATTGTCCTTCCAGGGTATTTATTCTTTAATTCCATAAATTCTTGTCCATATATCATCTTCATAATCATCGCTGAATATATCTTCCAATGGTCTTTATTTCATTTTCACACTTCCACGATATCATAAAATACTGATGTGCTTGATTAGTAGTTCATGATCCATAAGAACATTACATCTTGTAAACTCACCAGAGTTTCCAGACTTATCTAAGTCACTTACTTAATCCTCATTCATTAAGGTTACTTAGGTCATTTAGTAGTCAAGTTCATTTCAATTACTTCGTGGTTTTCCAGAGTAATTCAGATGTTTCTGAATTTCAGATACATATTGTACTTCTGTTTAATTCAAGTTGGTTTTCGTGGTTGATTTATCTAACGAATATCCATTTTTATTACCGAATGCAATCTAGAGTTGAGCTGAGCTGAGTACTTCCAAAATTATCATCGAACCAAACTTGAGAAGAATAACATACATTCAAATAATACCTATGTCGTTCAGGTACAGACATATCATTAGCGTTGGTCAACGCACTTAAGCTGAATTCCATAACTTTTAAAGGTAGTTCAACAACCATGTTTATTTGGATTCCTTAATTAATCCAAAACATTTACTTAGTCTAGACCATAAGAGCATTTTGTCATTTTGATGTTCAATGCTTTTCCTTGTATTTCAAAGCTTGAGGATATATATTCATTCCTAGGCTTAGTGATATTCTAAAGTCATTTCCATTATAGGGGTATTTTGGTCATTTTATAGAGCTAGGGTATTTCAATCTTTGTCTTCCGCCTGTCTTATTATTTAATTTAATCTTATCATTTACTTCAGTCCTTTCAAACAATTTTTACAAAAGAGCACCATCGATAATTCATTCTTCAAGTATTTACTCATAATTCGAGATTTTCGGGTCGATAGCTTCCTCAAATTTTACAAATAGAATATCAAAATTTTTTTGTACAAAGACATTATATTAACAATTAAATCCGTAATTTATTGGGTTAAGAACGAAATCTCAGGGTACTTTCTCATTTAGAGTTAACTCGGATAATTTTTACTTCTCAAGGGTATTTTCATAATTTCTTAACGAAAAAATTTCAATATTAACTCTTAAGAAAAATAATTATAATTTAGAGATCATATGGTCAATTACTTTCTCGAACATTCTCTGATCTTGAAATGATTCCTTAAAAG